TTTTTTGTTATTTTTAATGTGTCGCCATTATAACTACGAAAAATATGTTCCAGTTCATTACATACATCCAAAGTAACTTTTTTTAAAGACATATCAAAAGTAAAGTATTACTTCAAGTTCTATTAAAACGGGCATTAGTATAATTATTATCTATAAAAATATTTATTATTATCCATAGAAACATTTACTCTGCTGTTATAATATTGATATATTAATTCTCTGCTGTTATTAATATTAATTCTTTTTATTTATATAACTAGAATTGCATTAAATGAAAAATTTAAATTTAATTTTAAGGCTTATCCTCGAATATTCTAACGGTAAATTTCAGTTTGCTATCTCTATTTCAAAAATTTCTTTCTTTACGAAAACAAAATCTGTTCATGAAGTAATATTCTAAACTTCGTTTAGATCTCTTTCAAGCCCAGGTCAAAAATGCGTTTACCTTTTACTCGAGCCGATTATACACCGAGACAACCCCTGCAGTGACAGGTTTTGTCTTACAATAAGACCATAAATCTCTTTAGTGGTATTTTGAGTAAATATAATAACAGATCAAAGTAATATAATCTATTCATAAATTTACAATGTAACAAATGTACATACATAATTTATTTGTTATTTTTTTTACGGAAAAATTGGCTGTCTGAAGTTTAACGTAGATTAAAGTTTACGGAAAATAAAAATTATAAAAAAAAAGATTATTATTATATATCATAAAAATTTGATTAGTATCACGATCATTAAAATTGATAAAATGAAACGATATAAATATAGAGTTATGTCTAATGTTTCTTCAGAAGGTGTTTCAAATAAAAATTATAATAACAATCTTATCTAATTAGTATCACGATCATTAAAATTGATAAAATGAAACTATATTATAAATATAGAATTATGTCTAATGTTTATTTAGAAGGTGTTTCAAATAAAAATTATAATAAAAATCTTGAAATTTTTGTAGCATATTTTCCCACAGTTCCATATATTTATCAATCTTTTCGAATAAAATATTTTTTGGGGTCCATACCGCAAACTAACAGTATTCTCTATTCGATATAAATAACAAAATAACTGTCCTTGCACTGGATAGTAATAGAAATCAGTTCTTTTTAAAATTTCTTGAAGGAAGGAATAATTTAGTCACGCTATCATTTCCAATTTTGATTTTTGATATTGAATTTGATAGGTTGTGATTTATTACACCAAAATCTAATAAAATATACCATGACACAAGAAATAGTTTCAGAATAAGTTTGATGTGTTGTTTATTATCATTCAGTAAGAGACTAATTTACTTCTTACAGTGCTAATCTAACAGACAATTATTATTGTCAAATGAAAGAAATAAGATAATTTACTTGTGTGCTTGTGGTTAGTAAACGTCAGCCCTATGCAACTAATTGTCAACAAAGAACGGAGTACAAAAGTTTAGATTTATGAGATTTATGAGGAGCATTTATAAAACTTAGATGTATACTGAGTACTTATTTCAAAAATTTACAACTAAGGATTTAATTTGTTATATGTAAATATACTCCTAGATCTAGAGAAAATGGGAGTGCGACAATGGGAATTACTGGCACAGGACCGACAAACATGGAAGGCAATAGTAACCGCGGCAAAGACTTACGAAGAGTTGTAGCGCCATTGATGATGATGATGATGATGAAATATACTGTATAACTATTTATATGGATGTGAAATATGGATCATGAAGGATAATATGATGGACATTTTGACATTTTAGGATGTACGTTGAAAAATTAAGGCAAATATCGAGCACAAATGTAATAATCAAATCTTGCCCAAGTACTTTCGCTTTCTACAGCATCATCAGGAGAATCTGAAATAAGCCAAGAAAAGTTTTTTTTAAATGAATAAAATTAATAAACTTCGATAAAAAACTCGAAGTTAATGGATGATAAAAGTTTTTTGTGATTAACATTTTAGACTTACTTCGTCAAATTTGGTCTATCCAGCAAGCGCAGATGCCCCTGATGATGCTGTAGAAAGCGAAAGTACTTGGGCAAGATTTGATTATTAAATTTGTGCTCGAAATTTGCCTTCATTTTTTAAAGTTCATTTATTGGAGCATTCAACCTTATATCAATAAAATAGGATGTGACTCAGGTATATGATAAAGTATGGCAAAGACGCCATAACTATAAACTAAGACTACATTTACCAAAACGATACTCTCAAATAATTGACTCCTGCATCTTGGAAAGATATTTCAGAATTAAACAGGAAGAAACATACATGGAATTGACAGATATTACAGCAGGGCTGCCACAAAGAAGTGTCTTTACCTTTTGTATACGTGTTATATTATTGTCCTAGAAAATATACAATTGCAACATTTACCGAAGATATTGCTATCATAGCAATATGCAAAACCAGCGAGGAAGCGACAAAGAAATTACACAGATGTTAATCAAATATATACTCCAGGGAAATAAGCAAAAAATAGACCATGTTCGTGACACTCAATAATCCAGGTCGCTGACAACTTTTTTAGTTATTGTAGACCTCTAGGAAGAAAACCTACTTTTTTTTTGCCTTGAATTTGGAGCTGTTTTTTAATTATTGACAATTTAATGCAAAAAACGCGACTGTTTCTATGATTATTGATACGAGTATTAAAAAAAAATAGATTTTTGGAAGAAAATTGTTTTGCACGAATTGTTTAAACAAACTAGACTATTTATTAATGAATTAATATATAAACAAATTACTAATTCCTAATGTACGTAGAAATTACATACAAATTAAAAATAGATCATACAAAATAAAAAAATAAGAATGATCAAAATCCATTGAGTAGATCCGGAGATATAGAAAATTTTATTAGTTTGAAATTGCTTGTTCGGTTTGGATTTGTAGGTTCTTCCTAGTCGCTATTTGAACTACATTTTTGAAAATTCGTAGGGGGTCCTGTAGAGGTACAATGTTTGTGCAAATTTTTTAACAAAAAATACAAATCCCATTCCTTAACATGGCAAAAAATGAGGTTCCTTAATTATTATAATCAAATTAGCTGTGAATTATCATCTTTTCTTTGACTTGATCTACTACTTGTTGTAATTGGTCGTAAAACACTTCCCTTGTTGTTTGAGGCTTATTATTTTCTAGGCCGTATACTCCGATAATGTTCAGGTTTCACTTCTCCATTCTTATCTTTGATGTTACTATTCTTTCTGATATGTATTGACACTCTTTGATGTAATTTTGATACCTTTGGTGTATTAGTAAGGCTACACCTTCTTTGACCCTGTTTTCTTTTGCTACTCCACTGTAGATTAGTATGTATTCACCTAATTTTGATTGACCTTTTCCTTTATTTTTTGTTTGTTGTAGAGCACAAATGTCTATTTCTTTCTCTTTCAACACTTGGGTTATTTCTTGGTCCCTTGAGTTGAGTGATCTGATATTCCAAGTAATTCTCATCTGGGTTTTGGATGTTTTTAGCTTGTCCTTATTTCTTGCCGTAGTCGTCTTCATAGTATCAATCCGGTTCCGAGACGGTACATTGTTTCTTTGAGCAGTATTTGATTTTACGATTGGTAGGTTGCTAACCAATAAATATAAATAATTAAATTTCATATTCAAATACTGCAAATTTGGTTATTACTCTGAGCTCATGTAAAGAAGAAAAGAAAATAATAATTCTGATTGAAATACAAAAAAAAATGTACTGGATGATTGACCAAAACTCTACGCTGTTTCTATATAATAAATTATTATTATATAAGCAAATACTGAAACAATTGTATTATTATAAAAACAGTATAAATATTTAGAAAGAAAATGGAAAATCAACAGAAAATGTTTCTATTCGTATAAAAATTTAATAAAATCATAGGTACTTACTGCTTATTTATATTTCCATTATATTAACATTTCCTATTTTAAATACAATAAACACACTGGTTTGTCAAAAGTCGAAATAAGCCCTAATAATGTTATTCAACTTTATTTATCCTCCTCCGAGGGTTTTACCTACCTGGCGAGAATCCAGAAGCTACCGACAAGGACACCCTGTGCTGACGGAGAGAAAATTGCGTTTAGCAAAAATTTGAAATTTTTTAAAAGTTTATATCAAATAGCTGCTTTGTGTTACACTTTATGTTAAAAATAAAAACAGATTCGGGAAGTGGGTCAAATTCTGTAGTGCCCTATTTAAAAAAAAAATTTTTTCGTTTATTTTAACCAAAAATATTTGAAAAAAAAATTTTGTTTAAACAATTTATTAATTTACAACCAAATAGTGCACTAGAACTTTTTTAGACCTTCCATATAAAAAAAGAATCATCTCAATATCTGCCATAGTTTTTGCGTTATTTGATATAAACTTTTACATTGGAATTTACCTATGCCCAGAATCGCGAGGATCGGCCTTAAAGTTTAACTTGCTGTCATTAATTTTGTCAATTTGGCATTTTGACAACTTTTCTCAGGCTTACGTCACAAGAACATGCGCGTTGACTTATCTTGTTTTGTTATAGTATCATGCATAAAACATATATACTCCATTCGCTCAGCTCGGGCATATTTTGACAGATTCATTGCCGGAAACCAACAACACAACAATTCCTACTTCTCAGTATTAATAGCTCAAGTATACTACTATTGCAGACTTCTTTCTTTGAAAAAGAAGAATTATTCTAAATAGTGGAAGTGTATACTAAATTTTGGGTAGTATATATTTAAAAAATATATTTTAGTTGTTATAATTTAACATAACTATTTATTATATGGTGCAGATAAATAAATATTGATTATCTGTAATTGGCAAAGTTCTATTTTATTTACTATTTAGTTTGTTTACTATTAATATTGGCTATAAGTACGTGTGCTTGGTTGTATAGTAATTTCCAGCCTCCTATAGTCAGTCAAAAAGTAACTAACTTCTCAAAAAAATAATTACTAAATTCACTAGACAGTTCGGACTGGGAATAGCGAACCGAGTATACATAATAAGGACATGGCACAAATTTGACATGACGTTTTTTTGTCATACATATTGTTTTGTTATTTTATTGACATGAGCTGTGTACAGTTTATCAAGATATTATTTAGTGATTTGAGATAACGTTGAGTTCATCTTCAGAATGAAGATAGCATTGATATTATTCATATGTTTTAAATTAGTTAATTCAAATATCATTCAAAGAAAGTACCCAGAAGATCCGTCTTTTTACGACACTTTTGAAACTGAGGCACCGCCGTATCAGAATCAAAACTTTTCAGGATATATTCACCATAAGGAGGTAAAGAAAACAAAGGAGAATGCCAGATTTAAATTATATGATTTGAATCTTCCCTACTGCCAGAGACCTGCGAAATGCCAAACATTGAACTACACCACTTGCATGGGGGCCAAACTTCCATATCATCGTACAACTTTGGATTTAACAAACCTAAAAAGTCAAGAGAAAGTTCAAGAAAAACTACAGCTGTATAAGTACTTGCGATTTATTCCTAAATGTTGGGCTGTTATACAGCCTTTTTTATGTTCACTTTATATGCCTAAGTGTGAAAATGATAAGGTAGATTTGCCTTCATATGAAATGTGTAAAATAACTTTAGAGCCTTGTAAGATATTATATAATAACTCGGTTTTTCCTGAGTTTTTAAACTGTGAGGATGAACGCTTGTTTCCTACACAATGTAAAAATGATATACATGAAGTAAAATTCAACACAACTGGCTTTTGTATGGATCCCTTAGTGAAGACAGACAAACAGGAATGGTGGTACCCTAATATAGAGGGCTGTGGTTTAAAATGTAAGGATTCACTGTACACAGAACATGAACATTATCAAATACACAAATTAATAGCTTATTGTGCCTTGCTAAGCCTCCTTTGTAATATTTTTACAATTACAACTTTTGTCATAGATTGGACAACTGCCAACAAATACCCTGCTCTAGCCATATTTTATGTGAATGTCTGCTTCTGCATTTCCTATGGGGGTTGGCTAGTTCAGTTTTTAGGGAGTGAAACTAGGGAAGATATTATTTGCAAGAAAGAAGGAACATTGAGGAAATCTGAACCCAGTGCCACTGAAAATTTGTCTTGTGTAGTTGTTTTTGTCATGGTTTACTATTTTATGATAGCTGGATTGGTGTGGTTTGTGATTTTTGGCTATTCATGGCATATGAATTCACTCCAAGCTTTAGGTAAGTGATTTTTTATACACAAATTTAATCAATAGTAGTTTTAAGGAAATTTTAATCTCAGAAGATTATATATTTGTGACTCTTAGTTATTATTGTTTTCATCTAATCCTTAATATAGCATGTATAATGTAGATTTAGAATTGGATAGCCAATTTAAATGAATTGAATAGAATAGCCATGAAATGTTATTCCCAATAAATAATTGCACTATTTTTTATATGAAAGCTACATTTTTGTTTGTTAATAATTTCCTGCTTGTGTGAACATAGCACACTACCACCTAGCATTGAAACTCCCTTGCTAATGAGTAAAACAATGATTGGCGCATCACCTAGTGACCGGGCGCATAACTATATATACATGGCGCTAAATTCAAAAGTTTACTAATATTACATAGGATTGTAAGCTCATTTTAAAGTAAAGGAAAATCGATATAATCCTAAAATAACAAGAAAAATCCTTATCCTATATGATTTTTCGTATACTTTTTCGGTTTTCTTGTTATGTTGACACTATATTTCCATTACATTAAAATACCAAAGTGGTTAAAAAAATTAAAGAATAAAATATAGAATTAAATCTTTATTTATAAAAATGTTACAAGAAATGTTATATGTGTTACAAGAAATATTAATAATACAAACTAAGTGTCCTATAATTTAGTTTTCTTAATGTTGTGGCAAGAAGTGGTCAATATTTAAATAATTGTTTTGTCATTCTTATATTGTTTTATGTGAATTAAAGCCTAATTCTGCAAAAGGCATTTTTCGCAAAGAATCTAAAGATATATCCCTAGAAGATAAGTATATGCTTTTATTAAATTTAGTCTATGATTACATAAGCGAAGCAATCAATAGGGAAAATCAATTGCTTTTTTCACACATACTCTGAATGAAAACATGCAATTGAAAAAAAGCAAATGCGTTGTAAAAAAAGTATTAAAAAAATGCAGACATTATCTGGTAGGAAGGCAATTCAAACCAATCACAGATTAAATCACTATTTTGGTTATATAGAATGCCGGCATATATAAAATCTGACAAGGACGAACAAATTCTTGTGAATTAAAGCTAGGAGAACTAGCTTTACTTCACAAGAATTTAATAATTATCTACACTCTAAAGGAATATGTTCAAGTAAAACAAGACCATATAACCATGAAGTAAATGGTTAAGTCGAAAGATACAAGGAGTTATATGAAAATTGGTGAATCTAGCATTGAAAACCAAATATTTAGACATCACTAAATGGAAAACTGTTTTACCAGGAGCTCTGCACTATATATGAAGTTTACTGTTGAATTGAATTGTTATATTATTGAATCACGATAATGATGAAGATGAAAGTCCAAATAACACACTAGAGAATTCCACTACTAAATCAATACCAGACGTGACAGAAAATTTGCCTGTTCAAAAACCTGATGATAATTATGAACCAAGATTGGAAAATTCAGATTTTCAATCTAGCTGTAAATCAGCTGGAGCTAAAAATAAACCAAGATAGTTGCAATATTTTGTTCACAAATAGGAACGGGTTAATGTAGTGTAATTTAGTGTTCTAAATGTTGTGACAAGAACTTGTCAGTATTTAAATAAATTTTTTGGAATTCTAATGTCAAATTAAAGCCTAATAAGCAACAGACAGCCATCAGACATTCTGAGTTCTTTGTAGTACTTACATCCTAATCTAATAACACACACTACCAGCGGTCAGTGAGAACTCTAACTGTCTGGCATTCTACTCACAGAAAGACAGAACTCTGCTAAGTTGGAAACAGAAAAATTAAATGATTTAGTTCTAGAAAGAAGTTTATATACATTTACTTATATGATAATATTTTTACTCATATTTAAACCTATAAATCCAACAGTTAGCTCTAAGAATTTAAGATCCAGCACTATAAAGATGGAAAAATAACATTAAAAATAAAAAAATATGTAAAGTATTACCTAGTTACAATAAAAACTTGAAGTATTTTACAAAGTTAAGTTTCCAAACTCTATGTTACCAGCTACTAATATTTATATATTTATTGAGAGACATATTAAATACATTTAGATTTAGGTTGTTCTACAAAATGGAACATTAAAAGTACGTAGATGAGACAAACCATGGTAATATGGTACTCTAAGACCAATCTCACTCACAAGAGAGAGACAGATCCCTCCTCGCACATAGCAGGCAAGCTCATAGACCTCTCCATATGATAGTGTAGTCATGGTCTGCTAATCTAATCTAACTTTGAAAGGCGCACACCTGTAGAAATTTATGTCAAACCCTCTCTAAGGTGATGATTTTTAAGATAGTTGTTGAACCACCACCTACAAATAATTCAAATAGTAAGTTAAGTAAGACTGATTTTATGATATATAATTTTAGGTTAAATTTATAATTAACTAATTTTATAAGTAAAAGGTCACATACATACATATATTGGCATAATAGTTCTTACCTGGTGCTGGTAAAAACAAACTCAGAATGGTTGTTCTTGTAATACTGGTATGTCCAACATTAATTATATCTTCCTCTTTAAAATGGCTAGCGCATACATGAAAATTGTTATAAATAGTTTCTGTTGCAGTATTCTATAATTAGGGCTCTTAATAACATTCACCCATTTATCAAACATATCCATATAATGTCCTGGACTTGAAAAACTATATTGTTTGCCAGTAGTATCCATGCAATCTGAAACACATCTTTTTTGTTCAGTTCTTCGTCTCTACATTGTTATTCCATGTAATGTGTTCGAGTCCATAATAAAAAATTGTCTAAAATTGTACCTTTTTGCACTACTGATATAAAAATTTTTAAATTATAAAATAAATTATAAAAAATAAAACAAATACAAATATGGTGCCGTACTTCTCTAAACTCAACTTTGACTTGACCATAGCACACTTCCTCAGCATAGGAACGAGACTAGCAGCGCCACCAAATGAATGGGCGCTAAATCCGAACGTGATTGGCCTGCCTATCCTGTTACCAATCTAGGTTTAATTTTATCTATGTGTGTGAAAAGCCATATGTTTCATCTGTCATTAAACATAATTAATCAAACTAAAGTCATAAGGTCAAAAACATAAAAAGCACAAACAACAATCAACAATAACAATCAGAAGCAAAAAGAATGCAAAAATTATATAAAGAACTTATCATCTGATTTTAATATTTTTGCATAAGGTGGAAATTTGTACTGTTCAGTTCAAATATGAGACAAAATATTTAAGTACTAACAAGCGGCTAGACATACCAACCATACTCTGGCTGACCTCCGCATGTGCATTATTTTACAACTAATAACCTAACCTATACCATTCCGAATTTCAAATATAAATTAGCTGTTTTGTAACAAGTACATAATTAAATTAAATGCTTTCTTAGGACGAATTTCAGTAAAAGAACTTATTGAGGTACTGTTTAGAAGCAATATTTTTTGTAAATACTCTCCAATATTACCCAGAATGTAATTGTTAAAAATCAAAATACCGGATGTCTGAAAATAATGTCAAAATCTCCTGAGCGGTAATTCTACAGATGAAAATAATAAAACAGTTCATATAAACATACCTCAAAAACTGGTTCATAGAGGAGCTGGATTCCCTTAAAGGGAGCAATATCTCTGAAGAGGGTTTTTTCACAATATTTTCAAAACGGTTTATGTTATAATCATGAAATTTGTTGTATGTTGATATGTTGGAATGACAAAACTTTTTTTCTTAATAATTAAAATTTTTATCAGAGATGTCACATACAGGGTGCATCCTGGGGAAAAATTCAACTAACTTTTTTATTTATAATATTTTTTAATTTTTGCAATCAATTTACCGAATCACAACTATTTTTGAGTGAAAATGTGCTCTTACTTAATTTCGATAGGATAAACTGTTTTCCTGTAAAATGAGTTTGTATAATATGATACACAATTACATTTTAAAATAAAAATACATTATTTATAGGCAGTGTTGTAATAAAACTATAAATTTATTAACCAGCAAAAGCAGGAATAATACTATTATTTTATTAACTGAGTAAAAATAGTTGAGTAGCGTTTGTTTATCTCATTGTTAAGCTAATTATGCCAAATTTTTTATACTTGACAGAAAAAAAATATTAGTTTAAAAAAAATAGCTGCTTTTGGGAGCAAATCCCAAAAAATACTTCTTTGCCCAATATGTGTTTATTTGAAAATAAAAACAACATTAAATTAAAAGTCGTTTAAAACTTCACACTGGGTATAAAAGATTAAGTACAATTCAATTTGATTCTTCAGTCTGATTTTGCAAGTAGTGTACTTTTTTATATATTTGATTTTTTCATCTTGCACAGATCTCTTTGTTATGGTTTCCCACATTTCTCCCCTCTAATCATTTCTTGACGCTTCCCATGAAATAGATTTTGCATTCAGATCCCCACCAACGATTGGTCTCTTTCTTCTGGAAAATTTTCACCCCTAGCTATCTGTTTCTTGTATAAATTGCTACATCTTGCCTTTTGTCCGTTATTCAGCCTCCTTGGGCAGTAATCTTTTTATTTGGCACGTACACAGCAACAGGTCCGTTTTTACTTCCTTTCCTCTGTTCTTGGGCATATCATATGCCGCCCTACATCTTCACCAATTCACTTGAACTACTATCAACCCTTTAAATTCATCTCTAGTAGAGTTGAATTTAAAGGCATAATTTTCCTTCTACCAGTGTAGTTGCGCCCCTTCCCTTAGAGTCATTTTTGACTATGAGCTTCCTGAACTCAGGACAATTTTCTGAGTCTGCCCTGCGGTCCTTACTGCAGATTTCGCAATCTGACGTATTGTTCAACAGTTCAGACATTTGTCTCTTACAATCCTTTCTTTGCATTTATCTCTGGTATGCCAGAAGTATAGACTCGAGTAGCAGCGTATTGGTCGATATCTGGGTGTCATTACTTTACAGTTCACCAGACCTATCAGACCTTTCTCTGTCGCACCAATGTGTCAGCCGCTGTTATACTAGCTTTGA